CCTCCCCAAGAAACCCCGCAATGCCCCTCTCCCCCTCCTCCAAATCCTCCGGCCACTCCACCTCGACACCCAACCCCTTACTCCCTCCCGCCTTCTTCCCCCCGGGCGCCCCCTCCAACATATCCCTCGCCGTACTCCAACTAAACCGCACCACCTCCGCCCTCCACCCAAACACACTATCCATCTCCCCCCTCAACCACTTCTTCGTCTTCTCATCCCCCGGATACCCACTCCCAGCCGCCTCCGCCCCCTCCCCACCCACCAGCACCTCCAGCGCCTCATCCCTCGTCACCTTCGCACACACGCTCGCCGCAGACACAATCGGGTACAGGCTATCCGCCTTCTTACTCACCGTGACCCGCACCGTCGGAAACCGCTTCTGCAGCTTCGCCTGGTACGCCGCGGGCGGGCCGACAGTGTCCACATATACCTCAGCCACATTGACGCCGCGCTCCAGCACGCCCGCGATCAGCGCCACGGTCGCGTCCAGCGCCTGCGCGTTCAGGTTGTATGCCGCGCCGCGCAGCATGCCGGCCGAGATGTCCTTCGCGGAGAGGGCCTGCGTCGCCCAGCCGATTGCGGCGTGGAGCGGGGAGGCGCGCGTGGTCAGCGTGGCCATGAGTGAGGCGCGGAAGGCGGGCGTGAGCTTTTTGGAGTCGTCGAAGTTGTGCGAGGAGAGGAGGGGCGCGTCGGTGCTGAGGCAGTAGGCGATTGCGTAGACCATGGGGCCGAGGACGGGGCCGCGGCCGGCTTCGTCGACGCCGAGGATCACGGGGGTGGTGGGGGAGGCGGCGACGCGGGGGGGGATGGGGGAGTGGTAGGTGTACGTTGTGCCAATGGCGAGGGAGGCGCGGTCGACGGAGGGGAGGGTGGTCGGGAGGAGGGCCTCAGGCGCGGGAGAGGGCTCGGTGGAGGGCTCGGGGGAGCCTGTGGATGACATTTTGGTCTGGTATTGTGGGTTTTGAGGTTTTGAGGTTTTTGACTGGAAGTGTAAATCTAGACTTTCGGTGCGACGCGATTGATCTTCAGACAGGGAACGCGACTCCCACGTGGCAAGAACCCTAACCCTGCACAAGAAGCAGATCTCACAGCCAAACGCTCACTCGCAAATTCCACAGCCATGGATTGTTCTTCTCGGGGCTCTTTGCGGTCAGGATGTGTCGTGCTGATGGTTGTGGTTTAGGGGCCAATGATTGCTGTGTCACCTTTTTTGTAGCTGGCTGACGGGCTGGGCTTGGCAGGGGTAATGATTGCCCTGCAGTTAAACGTGACTATGGCGCCTATTTATAAGGATGTGAAGATAACATCTAGGTTGCGGTTTGTTTAGGCCTGGTACACTTTACTAGTGGATAGTTTAAGCCTGTGCGCCGCAAAACACGGTTAAGAGATGTGTATTGATCCATATGGATACCCGTCTACCGGAGATGACCGAGAAGTCCCTTCCCAGGGGGTTGCACTCACTACATGTATACGTATGTAATGCATAGTGTAGTCCACGAGGACGAGCGTCCTTGTGTCCTTGCCTTGAGCCCTGAGGATATGGCCTCGGTGGCACTCGGTACCAGCGTGGTCTAGGAGGGCGAGGTCTATGGAGAATAGTATGTGTCCTTGCCTCGAGGGACCTTGAGGACAATCATAGATATTATATATGGCCTGTAGGAGAATCATATCTCAAATATGAGTACTATACAACGGTTAATGTTATTATAATTATATATATATAGACCAAGCACAGGTCAACCATACTTGGAGGGAGAAAATGGCTAGCATCGAAGGATCTCGAGGACACATCCATAATACCTCGAGGACAGGCAAGGACAAGAGTTGACGAGGACGGTTCGAAACCTACCCTCGAGCTTTCTTGTGGACCACACACACACTGGTGTACGTAATGCATACCCATTTCTGAGTAGGCAGCGCATGGACCAGGCAGTATATCCCCCTTTTTGTCGACGGCGATGGCACAAGAGCGAGTTGGCGGGGATACGGCTAGCTCAACGATCAAGTCTATTTGTAAAACGAGGTGGTAGAGTGCTGGTATATATGTGGTTGCCTAGAGTTGGCACTTTGGTCTGCAAAAGTAGGTTTTTGTACAGCGAAGATAATAGACTTGATTGATTGACATTAAGGTAGTCCCTTTTGCTGTATATATAGCCATGTGGCTACTGTGTTCTTGTTCTCTTCTTAAAGTCTCGTTGTCTACATGTAGTTGGTTATATGTCCTTAGCCGATCCTAGCCCTTATATGTGTACATGTCCACTTGAGGTGCCGAAAGGCAAGGTCGGCAACGAGTGATCGCCCGTGACCCAACTCACATCCAGCCCGCGCGTCCCACATCACACTCCCGTTCCCGCACATCAAACCTAACCCCGCTAGCTCCCACTCCCACACTCCCATAACCACACTCCCTCTAATACTCTTACAACCATCTCCCCTCCTACACCAAATTCACCCATCCCCATCTCATCTCCAATCCCATCCCCCCATCCCTCCACCCCCCCACCTCCCCACCTCCCATCTCATCTTCCCCCCCAGTACTTACCCAACCACAGTCACCCAGCCACCACTACCACTACCTACCAACCCGAGGGGCCGCTATGTCAGATCTATCTGATCACAAGGCTGACGCTGGAGTCGGAAGGTCTGACATACTGGTCTCTGGGCGCGGCTGGAAACTGGGGACGTAGAGTACCACAAGTAGCCAAGAAGAGCGGTGCAGAGATATTTGGCACCGTCCATTTTAACTGTGACTGGCTACGAGGGAGTGAGTGTAGAGGTTTTTCTTGGGGAGGGGGAGGGGGTGTATAGTAATAGATGTTCCTTCGCTCCAGTCATGCCGCACGGGCTGAAAACCAAAAAGAAATACGTAGACACAATTCAAAGTCAAAAAAAACAGAGTTAAAAAACAAATTCCGTTCCAACCTAAAAAGCAGCAAAAAGGAGAGGCATCCCGCTCTGCTCCTTTATAGACCCAGTCACATAGTGTTTCCACCAACTCCGGGAGGTTCGAACTATCGAACTCGGCCCCTCTGGGCGACACCATAGCCAGTGGGCTACAGCGGTAGATGGGGTTGTGCCTTTCTAATGCTCCTATGAGAGTGCCTGATTGGAAGAGGGATGGATTACATAGTATGCTCCTACAAATACCCGGAATTGACACTACGTGACAGCTTTGAAACTACTACCGGCCCAGAAAAGAGATAAACCACACAGCGAAAGCTCCGCGCCCGGGGAAAGCAATACTCATTGCAACAGTCAGTGCTCAAAAGACCATGGCGGTAGTATTCAATGACGGTGTTTGTGCGGGCATGACTGTTCTCGCGGTTGGGTGAGATTGGTGAGGCGGGTGTTGTGCTGGAGTATAAGGCTATATTGGTTACAAAGTACGGTCTTCAATGCTACAATGTAGGGTGTACCAGCTACGAGGATGGTGGCAGGAATCGAGACACTGACAGATAATCAAAGCCCAATTAGGAAGACCAGCACAGCGGCAAACCTGTGATAGTCATTAACACCACGATTATCTATACCTACAAACACGATAGGCCCTTGAGTTTCGTACAAGCCACTGTGGTCTTGTCTTCGTTATTGATATTCATGGCTACTGGACTTTTATATAACCATCCTAACCCACCCTTTACACAACAAGAATGTATTCTAGCTTTACGTGAAACTCTCGCCAATACTCTCACAGCGCGCTCTGGAAGGTGATCGAGGTGGGGAGGTATTAACTATCTGTAGATATCGCCGGTAGGATAGAGTTCCAAAGAGAAAACGCAGGTTTGAGTTAGTTACTGCCGTTTGGGATGATCACTAACTGGCAGTTCGGAAAGCGTTGCGGGTTCCCTTCCGCTGTGGATTGATAGGGCTGATGGGACGGTTTACACCAGAATAATCACAGGCTAAAGTTTTGCGTGGGTGTATATTCTATTGCTTGATCATCACTCCGCAAAGGTGTCTCGATAATTTACACACCGAAGCTGTCACAAAGGTCCCCCGCAAAGAAAGCTTTATGCTAACCAGCTTCTCGGCATTGTAGTCTGCCCATCCCCAACATAAGTATAGCAATAAGATTCAGAAATCATCGAGCCTCCGGGAATCCAGCAGTCACGTAGAAAGAACAGCAGCTTACGGACTGACTCAACTACATGTACTATTAGTGCTAATGAATCAATCAACCTTTAGTGCCAGTCATGAGTTATCACTCGACCCGATCGAAGCCCCACGCTGTTAGAAGTATGGACTGCTTTCTTGGCGACCTCTAATAACTACATATAGTATAAAGGGGGGAATCGAAGTTTAATTCTAATACAAATCATTCTCGCTAATTGCCCTTTGATGAGGTCCAGAAGTGCCGACTAGCGAAATATAGTCGCTATAAACTAACCTCCGCGGCCGTCCATAGGTCTAGAACCATCTATCTATTACACCGCTTATCCCCTGCATCGTAGTTGGTTGTTTCGACTGACTCAAGTCACTGAACAATGATTTGCAGCATCTGTGCGCTACAGTAGACTCTCGCTATAAGGATACGGTCGGGACCAAGAATATGTATCCTTATAGCGAATTAATAGCGAATTATCCTTATAGAAAGTGGGGAATGCTAGCAAAACGGCGGTTGCGGACTGGGCACTGGTATCCTTATAGCGAGAGTCTACTGTATAATCAACTGCCTTAACCCAATACCAAAACCTCGTCTCAGGAGTCTGAGGACAATTGGCTATGGGGATCAAACTCTTTTGGCTGTAATTGATCTGTAAGAACATTCTAAACCCATTATAGATCATTGACTAAGGTATTTTTTTACAGATTTCACTAAGGCAAAATCTACAATCCAGGGGATAAGCTTAGCTCTTCATCCAAACCTGCTACACTCCAGGTGCTGGATGTGTGTCCCACAGATAGACTCTGGAGACGTGGCTTTGATAACTGCTTGGAGAGGTACTCTTCTACATCTACATACTGGTGCAGGAACTCTGGGCGGATTTTACCCGTGATCTATGAGAAGGCGAAGATATGGCTCCTCACCGCTTTCCCAGCCAGCTAGCAGTAAGATTGAGATCTATACATGTAGCTAAAGGCGTTCTGAAAAGCTGTCTTAGACACTGAGACCGAGGCCAGAGATGGTGTGTTCCGGGAATGGCTAAAGCGGGTGCTTCTTGGGCGTTGACATTGATCTACGACATGGACAACTAAGGTATGATGCATTTCCAGCCGCGAGACGGGAGGATCTTTGACAACAGATATGGGATAATGAAAGCACATACGAAAAACCACACCATAAACCAGAGACAGGTTGACGACAACAGACACCGAGGCCCATGGCCAACAAAGCCGCGATAAACGCACACACACACACACACACACTTGTAACCGACATCTCCCCCACCATAACGCCCCCGGGCCCCACCATGGATAAGGCGCTGGCTACAATTAGGCCACACGGATATATTACCCGCTCACAGATGGATGTGCGATTGCCGAGCTGGTCGAGTGACACGCCATGTCCACCGTCAGATTTTGCATCTCCCCGCATTTTTTCGTTATTTTCCCCGCAGTCTTGGATATTGGCGATGGTTCAGTTGCAGTTACACGATCTTCCCTTCCCTTCCTTTTCGCGGAGGTCTTAGAGCTCCCCCATAGGTCACGTCAGGTACGTACTCGATTATTACAAAGAGCGGAGGTGAGTATATTTTTTACAATAATATATCTCAGCTACAGCATTCACCGGTACCGGCCGCTGCTAGAGTACCAACGGCCTGCTCCGCTATGCCCGTTGAGAAGCGACATCAACGACTCGGGAAATAGCTATATAGCTTGTCGGTATATAGTATTTGAGTTGACCGTATCCCCGGGAACTCCCCTACCTGAGTAACACCCACTGTTGCAACAAGGCGATATTTCTTTTTCCCTCCACAGGGAAAAAAAAAAAAAAGAAAAACGAAAAACGAAAAAGAAAAAAAACTCAACACCTGACAGCACCCCCAATCTTTCTGCACGCAGCAGACCGACCGGCGAACCTACTGAGCTATATACATACATACACTCAATAGGTGTAGGCACGGCAAATCAATCGGGGGGTCTCCCTCCACAATTGCAACGGCGGCGCGGCGTGCCTTGTGATCGATATAACGTCTACATATAAAGCCCGCTGAGATCTAGGAGAAGGATGAAAATGAGGATGTGGGGAGTGGGAGGGACTTTGCGGCAGCACCCGCGATCACTCGAGGTGGGGTGGTTAGATTTTCTCTCTCATCCCGCGCGAGTGATGTATCATGAGGTGATCCTATCACGTGGTCTAACCTGGTCTAGTTTGGCCTGTACCACGAATGTCGTAGCTGAAGCACAACATGCTGACATCGGGGAGGTTAGAGTAACAGTGGGGGAGGAGGGGCAGCATGGTACGAAACCTAAATCCAAGAACGTCGCGCATACAAGCAGAAAAGCGATGCAATAAGGGAATCACACTTGCATTCACAGCAAACATTCGATTCTATCCCACATATATATGTGTGTACACCGCATTACCGAAGAACAAGTCTACCTACTTGCTCAGGAAAACCACCACATATATTCCCTCATAAAAAACAAGAACTGTATCTACAGAGGATTGCAACACCGGCTACTTTCCGGACAGGGTTAGGGTTTCCACGGTTTTCTCCCATGGTAGGTAGGAGGTCTGTAGCTAGCCAGGCAGGCTGCAGTAGTACATTATTTTTATCCACAGGGATGAGCGGGGAGGGTATATGAAGAATTACTTTTATCCGGCAAATGGTTTCCCTCAGGAGTGACATACATACAGTATGGTTATTTATGTATGTATGTGCGAGTAGGGTCAATTGCAAGTGAGCCGGCCGGCGAACGTCGGTGGGCGGTGGACAGTGGACCGTCGTCGTTCACTCACTCACGCTTTTTCCCTGTAAATGCAGGGAGCACGTTCACGCGCGTAGGCACGTATGTACGGGTATGTACTCTACATACATGTCGGAACAGGTTGGCTGGATGTGCCTCGCAATCGGGGACTGGCTACTAGCTATGTAACTAGCTGGAGTAGAGCATTTTTTTCCCTCGCGGCGCCGGGGGAGTTCCGTTTCGCGGGGTGAGTGATGGTTATCGGGAAAGAAGAGATTTTTATCATTGCGTGAAGAGGGAGTAAGAAAAGTGTTATGGAAAAGAGTGAATTAAGGAGAGATGTGCACTTTCACTTTTTTTTTGCTCGTGTTTCTTTCTTTGTGCTGGTGATCGATCATGCATGATGAGAATGTGCGGTGGACGATGAGTGGGTGGCTCGAGGTGGATGTCGCACACACACACGCTGCGCTGCGCTCGCTGATCGGCTCGGGTTGTCGTAGTTGGATAGACGGGGCTGACTTCTGGAAGCCGGGCTGGGGGAGATTCGAATCCTACGACAGGGTTTCCCCTTCGATTCCTTAGGCTTAGGCGGGGATTGAGTGTTGTTAGAGATAGATTATAGCTGCTAAGCTGGGCAGAGAAGAGAAGAGCAGAGAAGAGAAAAGTAGGTAGATGTAGATGATATACAGAGCTGACAGGCACACCGCTGGTTGTTTGTTTAAACTTTGGGGCTGCCTGGAGGTGTGTGGTACGTTATGGGTGGTGGACAGATTGGGACTGATATGGATGTGCGAGTTGGACAGACAGAGCTAGAGAATTGGTTAGTTCCAACGGCTTTTTTTTCGGTTTTTAATTTGGCTGGGCCAGCTAGAAGCCGTTACATACCCTACAAACCCTACATGATTTGATACCCACCATACCTACCACAGCGGGAAACGGATTTGAAGGGAGGGGGACCAGGGATCAAGAAGTAGATCCAATATTACGGAAAGGGATAAGGCGAGACGAGGATCACCGTTGGGCCTCGTCGAAAGAGAGGGAGCAACGTTTCGCTGCTGCGTTCATCTGGCGCGTAGCAGGAGAGGTCGCGCGTTAAGTGGTGATATAACGATACATGCAAATCTCAGTTGCAGTAAGTAATGCCATTAGCCTCTTATTTCATCGATATAAGGGGGGCGAAAAGAGATATATTTGTATCTATTGATCTTTTCGCTCACCACGAATTATGATCTAAATAGCTGCTGTGTACACCGGGATGTTGTTCCCTCCCGAGGCAACCTTCTTTTCTCTTTAGCTCTGGATGTAGGCCTCGTTCACTCGCACACACACTTCTTTCGTTTCCTGCTGCCGCTGCTTTGTTTGCTTTCACACAGGTTTCTTATTCATTGTTTGCGCTGTGCGTGGGTGATGGATCAGCAGCGGTTGTAAGCTCTTTTCTTGCTTTGTTTTAGAGAATTTCTCTTCGCGAAGCAGCAAGCTTTCTATCCCATTCCTTCAACTTCTCGAGTACTGTAATAATAATAGTATTCGATACTTACCAGCCGAGGTCGATCAACGCGAGAACAGAGGCACGCTGCTTCTGCTTCTGCTGCAACGCTAGGCTCACACACACACACACTCACACACACACATCCCATCCATCATCCCTCCCACCCTACCAACCCAGGGCTGCGCCATCCCCGCTCCCAGAAACGTGGGCGGCTCTGAGATTCGGTCTAGTGACCTAGGCTACATACGCCCTTTTCCTGTCTTTCCCTTTGACCACACACTTGCTCTCGTCTGTCTCGGGGGGAATGGTTCTTGGTTTTCTAGGTATTTTGTGCATGACTAGTTTCCCTGCCTTTTACTTTTCCCTACTACATACGTTCTCGAGTATTGTTGTTGTTGGTTATACTAGAGATAGATAGAGAGATAGAGATCTGGAGTGCGCATGCGTGAGTGAGTTATTGAGCTACTGTTACCGCTAATACTGGGTTGGCTTTGTAACCAGGTGCTCTAATCTACTGTTTGTGTTGCTTCGGATCTGGATCACTGGATCAGGGTCTGGGGTGCGGGTCTACCAGTGCTAGGGTACCCGACGACGGACGCCCGTTGCTGGTTGCTTTGCAAGTTGTTACTTTTACCTATCGTTACCTACACTTTCTATTTCCACCACCAGCAGCAGCAGCAGCAGCAGCACCACTCACTGCTACAACCGTCCATCACCCACTACTGGGCAGATAGACAGACCTGCCTGCCAGTGCTGCTGCTTCTACTACCATCACCTACCATCCCACATCCTACCATACCACCACAATCACAACCACCCCCCAAAACCCACATCCACATCCACACACAAGGTCAGTTCTACACTCTGACCTTGCATAGGTACAATCAATACCTTGCCCCTACAGTAGCCCATCCATCCATCCATCACTTCCTTATTCCTTACTTGATTTTTTGCACCCCTAACCCACGCACCACACTCTCTCACCACTCCCCCTCGTCATTCCTTCCACCAACCAACCCACCCCCCCTCCATCCCATCATCCCGCTGCCCGCGTTTAAGCCTCACGGAGAAATAATCTTGTCCATCCAAGCCACAACTACCGACTGACCTAATAACCTTACAGCCTACTACTACTGCTGTGCTATAGACAAACCTTCAACAACCACACACACGCCTCGCCTCAACCTTACCTCACCTTCCCCTACCTCACCTTTACCTCACCACCTCTCCCTTCCACAACACCACAACGCCTGTCAATTCCGCTCACTCCCTTTCCTTTCGTCACGGTTAGGTACCACCACCTCCCCTCAACCTGCCTAGCCTTCCCCCACGCACGACGCACACGCCCTGCAGCAGGAAAATTGCTGGGAAGGGTGCGAAAAAAAGGAAGGCTCGTCAGAGTAACGAAGGCTACAGGAGCCGGAGAAGGGGGAAATAAAAAAGGAAGGAAACAAAGGGAAAAAAAAGGGAAAAAAAGAAAAAACAATTAATCATCCCATTCATTCATCCATCCATCCATCCATCCCCCCCCCCTCTCCTCCTCCCCACCCCCGTCCACTCACAGTACTCCGACCACACTGCTACGCACAGGAAAAATAAAATAAAAATAGAATCCAGTGCCTACAGGTAGTTTGAGGGCAGAAGCCAGAGGGGAGGAAACAGATCTACACACACACACTCACTCAACACCACCACCACCGGAATGGCTCACACCGCCGTCGCGTCTACCTCGTCGGACGACGGCGAGGACATTGGCGCGCGTCTTCGGAAGCTAAATCTACCACAGAGGCCGCTGATCATGGACAAGGTCAACCGCCCGCGCCAGCGACACTGCGGGCACAGCGAAACCGAGAAGTGCTGGTGCTACGAGTACACGACGATGCTGCCCCGGCCTGAGTACGAGGGGAAGTGGCTCCCGGATAGCCCTGAGCCGCTGGAAACTCCGGCGAAGGTCTTGACGAACGGGAACAGCAGGGGCAGAGATGGGCGGGAGGACAGGGACAGGGACAGGGAGGAGCGCGATGCGGGTGGGAGCGGTGGTGCTGGGACGGGGACGGGGACGGCGAGAGTGAATGGGACGAACAAGTTGCCGGAGAAGAAGAAGTTTAGCTTGGGGCAGTACAAGGATAGGAAGCTGGCTGGAAAGACGCCCGCGAAGACGAATCCTTCTCTTCCCCCTCCTCCTCCACCCCCTCCTACTTCGCATCCTCCTGCTGGCGTTGCGGCTGCGGCTCTTGGTGCTACATCCAAGAATTCCCCTATGAGGACAGGGGACAAAAAGTCGGTTTTATTTACTTATTTACATGCATTTTACAACACCCCTGTACTACGAGGGTTTGGGGAAAACTTCACAATTGCTGACGGGGTTCGTGTAGGTCCAAGGAAGGCTCAGTGGACTCCCAGGAGACAATCCGGAACTCCAGAGAAGCTCGACGGAGCCCAATTTCGCGACGAAGCCCTCCACGACGAAGCCCTTCGCGACGGAGAAGCCCTTCCAGGCGAAGCCCTCCACGGCGGAGCCCGTCGCGGGACGATCAGCCGCCTCCCAGGAAACGACACAGGACCCCCAGTCCTCAGCGACCGCCCCCCCAGCCAGCTCCAGCTACTCCACCACTCCCACCGCTGCCCCCATTGCTCAGCCCTACGCTCCCCCAAGCTATTGAGGATGCTCTCGCGCTGCTGGAAGAAAACAATAGGTCACGCGGTGGCACGAGGGAGGACGGATACGACAGCTCAATTGCTTTGAGCTCGCGCAAACGGCAACGCGCACCATCCGATACTGAGCGTCCTGGTCGAAAGACTGTCGCGCCAGGGAAGAAACTGCCGGGATCCAGCACGAACACGCCATCGTCGCGCTCCCCACGCAACAATCCCTCACCCACAAAATCGGCCGCGCCCAGCAACAAGACCATCAGGACCAATCTTGGCGGCAACACAACCCCCAAAATGGTTGCGTCGAAAACAGTGCAGAAGCGACCGGCGAGCCCCAAACAGTCGTCGCCATTGCCGAGAAGCTCGAAAACATCTTCAAAATTCCCGCCGGCTTCGGTGTCTGCTGCTGCGGGCCCGGAAAAGAAGTCGCTGATTGTCCGGCTGAAATTCTCAAAGAGACGCGCGAAGGATGTCGCGATCCTGCTGCTGCTCAAACCTAGCCCTAAGCGACAACGCCAAGATGATCATCTGCTGCCGGCGCCAGCCGCGAAGCGACAGGCTGTTGCGTCTGGGAGATCTCCCGCTTTCAAGTCTCCCGCTTTGAAGGTGCCGAAGGAAAAGGACATAACAACCACCCCTCCGAAAAAGGTCAATGGCCATCCCACCACGACGGCTCTGAAAAGGACGGCGTCGGAGGGACATGCGCAAACACCGAGCAAGGATGAAAGGAATGGTGGTGCCCCGAGAAAGCCGTTGGATCACTCTGTGCAGTCCAGGGTGGAGAATTTTAGGGCAGAGTATCAGAGGTATATAAAAAAAATTCCAAGACATGCTTCCATTCGTTACCCTATTTTTTGCGTGCATTTGGTGTTAATGTTTTTGATGTTTTCTTGCAGGTATGCGGAGTGGGGGAAGCTTTCGAAATATGAAGCTGACAGAACATTCAAACACCAAACTGAAATTGATAAGGAAAAGACCCGATACGCAACAGTAGTAGCGGTTGATTCCGTCCTATGTTACATCCTTTCTTTCATGTGTGAAGAGGAGGCCAAGGCGCTCGAACAGCGATCTCCCCCGATAGACACCTGGCGTTCAATTGTTCCTTTATCAAAGTTTGTTGCCGAGAAATGTTATACTTACCCCCCACTCCATGGTCTGTGCAAACAGCTCGAAGCTATTATCCGACAGCACCTGTTTGATATGGAGATTGCTGCATTCGAAAAGGTACCACTCCCGGACTCCGCCTCCAAAGCCCCCACTCCCGACTCGGGCACCAACACAAACGGTGTCAGCATCGACCGCACAACCTACCTCAAGCACCGAAGCACCATTGTCCGCGAGGCCCGTGAACTCAAGGACTGCTGGCTCGACGGCATGCGCTACCTCACGCTCGACGTCATCCAAAGCCAGTTCCCCCACACCTGGGCTGAGCGGTCGCGCAAGTTTGTTGATCCCACAGCGTCGACACTGAAGGTGGGAAAGTACAAGCACTCGTTTCAGCTGCCGCTGCATCCGAATACGTGTATGATTGAGGCGCTCAACTTTGGATTTCTGTTTCTGCAGGAGTGGGCAGCGGCGGAGGGGATAAAGGATTTCAAAAGTAAGCTGGGTGTCTTTTTATGAGCACCCACCGACTGATGAGGGGGAGGGGGCTGGATGGCGTGGGTCAAAATAAAATGGGATGATTTACAATGAAGTTAGGAGACAAAGGATATATGGCTTATGTGTGGGGCTTCTGGAAAATGGACCTCTTACTATCACTCGAATACACTGACTGATCGACTAACCTAGCTTCTAATGTGGGAAAGGGGGCGCATTAACTACTAATGAATTTTTCTGTCTATTTTTTTTATACCTAAAAACGGTGTTGGGCCTGGCCTTTTTTTTTCTTTACGGGAAGGGGATTATTTAGGGGGTCATCAATTTCTTTTTTTAGTTCTTTTCTTTTCTTGGTTCGTTTTCCTTTTGCCTTTTTCTTTTCCTTTTTTCATTTTGTTTTTGTGTTTTTTGACAAGGGCAAGGGAGTTTTTTGTGTTATAAATTTCTTTTTCTTTTTTCTCATCTCCTTTTATTTTATTTTATATATGTTCCTGACCTGATTTGTCATCTTACAGCTTTAAGTAGTAGGTATTCAATAATTTCCTCCGCCATATTTGTTCCTCTCTATCTTCTTTTTTCTTTTTTCTGGTTTTCTCCGGCTGTTATCTTATCTTATCTCCATCTTATCTTCAGCGAATGGATCTGAGGGAAGGGAGATGAGGATTGGGGATTGGGGATTGGGGATTGGGGATTGGGGATTGGGAATAAAGACCAGCAGCTACGTAGTGTTACGATGATGCTTTTCTTTATCTTTTTCTTTTTTTTTGGCTTGTTTTTTATGTCTTCTTTGTGCGTGCACAGCACGAGGTTTCCTTCCTCCCTCATCATTCCCGTGAGAATGATGGCTGGGGCCAAAAAAGTGGTATTTACGTCTTTTCTTTCTGTTTTTACTCTTCTCTGATGATATGGGCCTGTTTATACTACCTACTTAACTACTTACCACCCCCAACCCCCGCTATTGTAGCCTCCTAGTCTTTATTGTTTATTACTCACCTCACCACATATCGTCCTCCCTCGTCTTTTTACCCGGCTCACAGTAGCTTGTGTGGAGCGGGGAGTACCCATGGTGCTTTTTTTGTTAGTCTGTTTGGTTGTTTATTGGGTTGTAGGCAGTGCTATAACTGGAGCTTTTATGCCTGCCCCTTCGTTCTTTTTGTCGTTTCTTTCTCTGTCATTGAATACGCGTTGGGATACTTTACCACACCCTTCTTCTTTTTCTCTTGTGTTGTGTTTGAACCTTCACTTCCTCCTTTCTCGTTGCGTTATGTTTCGTTACCTTTCTTTTGGGTTTCTCCACGGCGCCTTTCTGTTTTCTCCTTTCTATTTTCTCTCAGCTGTTGTTTTTTTTTCTTTTGGGACATGCGGTTCAAAAAAACTGTTCTTTTTGTGTCTATAACTTTTTTTCCCTTCCCCCCTGGCTAGTTGTAGCTATTCTATTCTTCTTTTTGAACTTTTTTTTCTGTGTTTTCATGCGTGTTTTTAGATGATGGGTGTAGTAGGTGTACAATATCGATGGTTCTTGTCTTCCCCCCCGATTTTCTTTCTTCTTCGATAATCCTCTCTTTTTTTTTTTTAGTTTGGCCGGGGGGGAGAGGAGAGAGAGCAAAATAAATTTCTTGCATATGATAATGGTTTGAATACGGATACGGGGTGGTGATGGTGTGCGATGTGGGAACGCGATACCCGATGAGGTGCTGTGCACCGAGTGAATGGGAGGGAGAGTATTGGGTTTAGGTGGTGGTGGTGGAAAGTGAATGTGAAAGTGAAAGTGCAAGATCCTGTTTCATGCATGGTTGTAAGGATATTATAGGGCTTCGTGTGTTCGAGCGAGACTTGTACCTTCAAAAGAAATACTTGCTGTCGTCGAAGTAGACAAATTTGTCTCTATTTCGACTCCGGCCTCTAATGTTCCTGGTTCCGTAGACGGCCAGTCGAGGAAATACATGTACATTCACCCTGTTTCCTATTCTCCGGGGCTGCCGAGGAACACTCATAAACCTGGGCACAATATTCCAGAGGCTTTTAAGGGCATTAGAAAGCTACCTACCATCTACCGCTTCCTATGGCCTAATCAGCTGAAGTGTCGCCCAGAGGGGCCGAGGTCGATAGTTCGAACTTCCCAGACTTGGTGGGAAAACATACACTGTGTGACTGGGTAAAGGAGCAGAGCGGGATGCCTCTCCTTTTCGCTGCTCTGTTTTTTTTTTTTTTTTTTTTTTTTTTTTTTGGTGGATACATAGCTTAGTGGGTAGCATGAGGTATAATGTACTTACAACCTACAATACGTTAGAGATCCAGCTAGACATGCTACTGGGACGAGCCCTTCAAGGTAGTGGGGTAGGGAAGTATGTAGTAATCTCGCTTGCTTTTTCTCACTCGCACTTTTCACCACTTACGCCATTTACGGGGAAGGCATGGGGGATCCCGCTCTTCATACTGAAGTTCAAAGAGGATCACGGTTTTCAGGCAACCATAGCACACAGCACATACTCGCCCAACACCGACGCTTAGACTAGGAAAGAGGGCGTAACATATGAATACGGACACACAGGGGGCGGTCTGCGTTTTCCAGCCATCGGCCCAGCAAGCTTCAGCTCTGGGCTTCTACCACGTAGCTTCTTCATCCGAGACGAGTCGTCCCAGAGTAGCAATCAGCTTATTAAGTAGCCAGTGACTACCTTCTATGCCTTGAAACGCATAAAATTATAAGCCTCATACAACTCTTACCGAATCCTTATCTAGATCGTAGGCTCACAAAAAGCTTACTCGCCACACTGAGAAGGCTATTGGGAGCCTATGTTCTGGTTAAGGCTACCAGATAAGCCTTATTTTATGCATTCCGACGGTAAGGTAGTGTTACTCAAGAGCTATGACACAGCTGGGCCTTTTGTGACCGACTCGTTGGGAAATAAAGAGCCTAACTTACATAGCTACAGTTCTAGTTAGTCACGGATCGGACAGGTTCGGACAGCTGACCTGTACGTGTTTGACCCATCCAGATATACATTGACAGCGTGGTGTGGCGTCTGAGCCCAGGACCAACGATGCGAGTTGCCACCATGAATCACTACATGTAGCTGTGTAGTCATCTACATGTAGCTGTGTAGTCACCTATTCATTGGGACTGTACTGGCCCGGCCTGTCGCGGATACCACGCTGTCCCTTACACCCCTAGCTTCGCCACCACTATCCCTTAAGCTGTCGATGCTGACCCCCCCCCCCCCCCCCCAAATAACAGAGGAATTAGATTTGTGTGAGAGATCTATTATTTGATAAGAGAGATAACGGGATCTGGATCTGTTAGTAAAGCCACGCCAAATTTGCTTTTTTTTTTTTGGTGGGTCAGCATTTTCGCGACAGCTTAAGGGATAGCTATAGCTATAGGGTTGAGGTTCTGGTATATACTTGTCTTAGTACAGGTGCTGTTGAGTAGAGTACTTGTAACTATAGCTAGCTGTTAAGGATCGGTCTACAGCTTCTTCTCCTCAAGCTTACTACCTACCTGCCCACGCCACAGTGCGTGATATCTATCTCTACATCATCCAAAGGAACCATTCAATACAGCCCCTACCCCCTACTTCCCACTACTATCCCATCCACCCCCCCCGCGCCCAAAAGCCAATCCAGACAGTCACGTGAAACAATCATCACACACCATCACTCGATCCTCACACGCCATCACTCGCTGCGATGTTGTCGCGCCATAGGGTGTCACTCGGTATGCCCCCCACTTACTACTATTCACCCACACCACTACTCACCCATCTTCTTATCCACCACTACTCACACTCCCACTCGCACTTGCCTACTCACACCACATACCACCCATATCTTCGAAAGGGAAGACGCAAATACCACAAACCAAACCACACTAATTATTTTAACCCCCGCAATAGAGTACAGTGCAGCTACAGCTACAGACAGTATTATAACGGTACAAATAAGCTACCAGACCTTCCCCCCCCCCCCCCCCTTTGCCCTCTTCCCCGCTCTCCCTCCCGCTCCCCGCTTCCGCCCCCCTCCCTGCGGGTATACAACATACACAGCCCAACCAAGAAGCAATAAAAGAAGAAAAGGAAGAGGAAAAAGAAGAGAAAACAATAGAAAAGAAAAAAAGAAAAGAAAAAAAAAGAGAAGAACACAGAAAGAAAGATAGAGAAGATAGAAGAGAGGATATAGTACCCAACTAACTAACTGCGGCTAAAATTCGTAATCATACACCGACCATCCCAACGCTGCAGCAGCAGCCGGAGGAGGACAATACCACTTCAAGACAACAAACAACACTTCAAGAAAAAGACAATAGAATCCAAACACAAGAGAAGAAGAAGAAGATAAAGCGCATATCCAGAATCGCGGTGGAAGCTGTAAGAAGGTACAAGAAACACACGGCACAAAAACGGAAACAGAACAAGCAGGACGCCAGAGGAAAAAAAATAGACAGGATAGAGGGCGCTGGGGAGGGGTTAGCTCCGTTTTCCCCTCTCAAGTCTAAATCAATCCTCGGCCATATCTGCATCCCCGTCGTCGTCTTCTCCCTCTACTTCGCCTTCGGCTTCCTCTCCACGGCCGCCGCTGCTGCCGCCACTGACGACCTTCTCGCAGCCCTGGGCGAAGAACATCTTTGCTTTGAAGTCGTAGGGGTTCTCGATGGAGTATAGGTTCCCTATCACGCACCTCACATGTCAGCTCCATCACCAAAAAAGAAACAAGAAAAAGGTAAAAAGTAAACCACAAATCAAATCGCACAGAAGGGCAAACCAACCTCTCGGCACCATAAACTGCGCCCCCCTCCTCACCCTAAACGCATTCTCGCCCACCCTCACCGCGACCTTGCCCTCAATGACATAAAACACCAAATGCATCTTCCCCGAATTCTTCGTCCTCTTGACACCCCCCGGCGGTATCTCGACCATCCCCGTCCCAAAAAACTCCTCCGTACACGTCTTCACAAACGTAAAATCCCCATTCGCAACCTCCACCGTCACAATGCGATTCCGCGAAAACGCCAGCTCCCGCTCCTCCAGCTCCTCCTCATCCGCATTGGCATTGGCACGAGCACGCTCACGAAAAGTCTTGACATACCCGCGCACCACGCCAATCTCGCCGTCCACAACCCTCGTCTCCCAGTCCTCCTCCTCGGGGTCGCTATCCCCCTCATCACTCTTCACCCGCTTCCTCTTCACACCCGTGGCAGCGGCAGGCCGCTTCCGCTTCGTCCCCGCGCCTCCTCGCCGCGCCTCCTCCTCGTCGCTCTCGACGCGGATCACCTCCGCGATCGTCGGCATCGCCATCTTGTCCTTGTCGCGCTGGCCGTCGAGCTGATACACCACCTTCTCGCCCCTCCAGTAGGCCAGCGGCGGCAGCGTCGCGCGGGTGGATCGTCTTGCGCCCGCGGCCCCCGCTTCAACAGAGGTTGCGCGCGAGGGCGGCGGCTGCGTGATGATGCGCTGGCTGCCCTTTTTGGCGACTACTGCTGCGGGGGCGCGCTTGGAGTTGGGGCGCGGCGTGAAGGACTGCAGCTCGGGGCTGAGCTGCTTGGTGGGCGCTTTACCTTTACCCTTGGCTTTGGGTTTGGCTTTGGGTTTGGCGGCGGTGGCAGTGGCGGTGGCGGTGGTAGCGGTCTTGCTGCGCTTTCGTGTCGGGCCGGCGTCTTCAGTGTCGGTGGGCTGCTGCTGCGTGGCCTCGAGCGGCGACTCGGGGATCTCGATGACCTTCTTACCGCCGGTGCGGCGGCCCCGTGTAGTGGCTGGCTCGGAGTCTTCAGAGTCCACTGCAGGCTGGGCCGCGACCTTCTTGACCCGCTCTGTCGCCTTCACCGCCTTCTTCCCCGCGCGTGCGCCCTTAGCTGGTGGTGCGGGGGGGTCAGACTCTGTCTCGGCCTCCTCCTCCTCCTCCTCCTCGTTGTCAATGACCTTTGCAGCGGCAGCGGCTTTTCCACGGCCCTTGACCGGCTGCTTAGGCGCTGCTGGCTCTTCCTCGTCGGTCTCTGCTTCAGTTTCGGGGGCTGCGGGCTTCGCAGTCTTCTTCTGGCGACCTCTGGGTTTCGGCGCCGGCGCTTGAGCGGACTCAGTCTCTGCCTCGGGCTCCGGCGCAGTCTTCGCCGCGGTCTGCTTCTTTGCACGGCCGTTCTTGGGACGGGGCGCGGCTTCCTCCTCTTCCTCGACTTCCGGGACGGCCTTGGCCGTCTTTTTGGGGCGTGCGTTCTTCGGCTTCGCAGCAGGCTCTGTGTCCACCTCCATCTCCGGTTCTGCCTCCGGTTCTGCCTCAATCTCCGGCTCTGGTTCTGGCTCTGTAGTCTTCGCAGCCTTCTTGTTCCCGCGCGCCACAACTTTCCGTTTCGGAGTCGGGTCCTCGACCTCTTCTTCTTCTTCTTCCTCGGCTTCTGGCTCAACGGCTTTCGCCTTCTTCCCCCTGCCCGCCGCAGCTTTCGGCTTCGTCGTCGGCCCCGGGACCTCCTCCACCTCCTCCACATCGTCCTCTTCCGCCTCCTCCGGTTCTGGCGCCGTAACCTTCGTAGTCGTCTTCCGTCCGCGGTTATTCGCCGCTTTCGGCTTCGTCGCCGGCGTAGCCTCCGCCTCGACCTCCGTGTCCGCCTCCGACTCCGGCTCCGGGACGACCTTGGCCGCGGCCTTCTTCGCGCGCGCAGTGGCAGGCTTAGTCTTCGGCGTCGGCTCAGCCTCGGCCTCCTCCTCCTCGGGCTGTTCCTCCTCTGGCTCCGGCTCTGACACGACCGCCGCCTTCCTGCCCTTCCCCTTCGCGCTGCCATTCACCTTCTTATTCTCCGTCGACGCCGCCGCCGCCGCCGTCTTCCCCCTCCCCTTCGCCGCCGCCGGCGTCACAGCAGCCTCCACAAGACTATCCTCCTCCGCAAACCCACCCCCACCCCCGCCCAGCTCCCCATCCGACTCCACCTCGTCCTCCAGCAGCGACAACGCCTTCTGCGCCACAGGCGCCTTCTTACTAACCAGCAGCCCGCCCCTCTTCGCCGGCGCCTTCTTCGCCTTCACGGGCGCCGGCGACGACGACGCCGTCTCCTCCGCCACCCCCGGCAGCACTGGCAACGCCGGCGAGCTCAACACTGCTGCGCCGGTAAACAACATCCTCTCCACGCCGCCCTCCGCGGGCGTCCCCAGCCCCACGCTCGCCGCCCTCCGCGCCGGCGTGCCGCCAATCGCCGTCTTGGCTGGCGAGCGCGCGCGCGGTGGCAGCGACGCCCGGTCGCGGCTGAGGCGTGCGGGGGTCGGGCTGGTGGTGGTGACGAGGTCCATGCTCATTGACAGCTTTGCCGGGGAGCTCGTGGGCTGCTGGGCGGTGGTGGTAGTGGTGGGGGCGAGGGCAGCGCCGGGGGTCTTGGATGTGGGTGGTGCGGGGGTCTTGGTGGGCGAGCTGAAGAAGCCCGAGAGCGGCTCCATGCCGAGTTCGTCGCGGTGGCCGGTGTCGCGGATGGTGACGCCGGTTTTGCTAGGGTGTGTGTTAGTACTGCGAGCGAGCGAACGGACGGGCTTGCGAGTGAGGGGCAGCCGCGGGGGGGAGGGGGGGGGGGGGGAGACAGAGTGGAGAGAGGGGAGAGAACGTACCGTCCAGCGACACCGATATCAGTAAAGTTTGTGTCGCGCTTCGGCGGCATTGTTGCTGACTCTTACAGGTAGGGTGTTGTTCGATATTTCGATTGTTGCGATTTCCTCAATATTTTTTTTTCTTCTTCTGGGACTGTTATTGACACAGACAGACGTACACCCGGATGGACTGCGAGCGATATCTTATGGCCCGCGGGGGGTGTAATTGGCTCGTGAATAGATTCTCCCGTAGGGGTGAGGTGAGGTGAGGTGAGAGACTGGGCGCAGTCTTCGGGGGGTGGGGGGTGGGGGGGTGCGTGAGGACTGATTGATTGATTGATTGATAGAGACAGTTCGATGGTGAGAGCGAGCGTGTCCTGTTCCTGCCCTTCGCTTTCCCTCGCGCAACGAAGAACGCGTCTGTGCCTGACTGGGGACGTGCGGTACCGCGTGTGCGCGGAGATCTGGGACTGGGTGATTGCACGTGGGACCGGGGTGGAGGGTCACGTGGGTGGGATGTCGATATGCTATGTGGGGGGCACGTGAAAGGTGAAGTGAAGTGAGGTGAGAGTGAGGTGAGGGGAGTGTGGAGGGGTTGAGTGAGAAGTGTGTGGGTTGTGGGTTGTGGGTTGTGGGTTGTGGGTTGTGGGTTGTGGGTTGTGGGTTGGTGAAGGTGGGGGTCGGCACAAACAAATAGTATCACACGACATCAACTACATAGTTAGCTGCCCACAAGGAATCGATCCTGGGACAGCACAGGCACTGGATCTCTCTCTCTCTCTGTGTGTGCGTGTGTGTGTTTCGACCCCATCTATAACCTAACCTACAAACAAAACGCAAATCAAAATCAAAAACAAAACAAAACCCTCCTCTCAACTAGTACTTTTGGTGTTTCCCACATACGACGAACTGCTAACCCATACTTACAATATAACAACAAAAAAAAAAAAAAGAGGGAGAAAAAGGCCTCACAGTGAAGGATAGATGGATAGATGCACATGAACACAATACGAACCAGTAACCAAGAACCAGGAACGAGGGACCGGGAACGAGGGACCATGAACGAGGAATCAAGAGGGGCGCAAGTAATGGGGGATAGATATCCCTTCATACGGACGATAAAAAAAAAAAAGACACTCCACTAACAACTAACTCCGTGCACGCGACCCGTTGGCTCCGAAGACAAGATAAAAAAGAAGTAAAAAGGTAAAATAGAGGAACAGAGAAATGACAATAAGGTGAAGAAGAAGCAACCTCTCACTCTCAATCCCATCGTTCCATTCCTCCCCAAAGTTTATATATCAATCGTGAATCGGGAGAAAGAAGAAGAAAAAAAGCTACACCAGATGGACACACCCGCAATTCAATCCACGATCCCCCCAATCCCCCAATCAAAACAGAAGAGAAAGAAAGAAAGAAGTCTACCGGAAAATAAAAGAAACAAGACCACTCGTAAGAAAAATCGTTATAGAAAAAGGTAAAAACTAACAGAAGAAGCAGCTTAGCCACCAAACACCATCTGCGCCTCCCTACAGTGCCCGCCATTCGGTCCCTCCGACCCCACACACACCAAGCACGCATCCACGATATTACTCAAGCACCCCTCTGTCGCCCCAAGCACCGCCCATCCAATAGCCCCCGCAATCATCCCCACAATATACCCGTATGCGCTCCCGCCATTGATGTCCCTCGCGGTCGTGACCCAGGCTCCTATCCCCATACTCAGCGCTGTGATGCCGCGGGTGGCTGTCAAAAGCATTTTGCTGAACTTGTAGGCCGTGCGTGGGTGCTTCCCGGTCCCGTACCCCGCGGTGTCAATGAACCTCATGCCGGCGACGGCGCGGGAAGACGCTATCAAGGGCTGTGAGTGGATCGCGGCGTAGGTCAGTGTCAAGGGGTTGGTGAGTGATGCCACTGGCGAGGTGATGAAGCTGTAGCAGAACATGTGGATGAAGGCTGCAATGCGTCTTGGAGCCACCATTAACGGAACGCGGACCAGAAGTGCGACGAGTGAGGAGAAGCAGATTGTTCCAAAGAGAGTTGTGGTGGAGTGTGTAAACGCAGCCTGCATGATATCCTTTGATGAAGCTTTCGGAATCTGGTGTCTGTGAAAATACCATTGGGAAACCGTCGCGGCAGAAGTTGCCCTGTGAAATGTTAATATCGTGAAACTCCGGGAAAAAAAAAACAAATATCGACTTACCTCTGGATATTTGAACAGATCCCCAAAGTCCACAGATACATCATGATGTAGTATGTAGCGAGCATCATCATCTTGGTATCCAAATGCCACAAAGGAACGCCTACTCCCGTCAGCTCCGCCCAATCATCTCCATCTCACAACAACAAAACTCACCTCCTACGATGTAGTTCCCCATCCAAAACATTCTCGTAAACATGGCAACCCACACCCAGGTAAACACACAAATGGCTCCCAGGGTCCCAAAGCTCAAAAGCACCAAGGCTGCATTCTCTCCAAGGATTTTACAAGCAAGCTGGATAATTCCTATAGCGCGGCCCAGCGCATTCTTTCCTCTCCACGCAAAAAAGACCCAGAATGCGGCCATGATCGCTGGGAAAATACTACCCCACCTCATGGCTTTATCTTGCGGGGCGTCACCTTCCCATTTCCCGCGATAAGACATGATGAGTGGGTACATGCTCAAGGCCACCAGAATTATAGGCACTGCTCCCAGTATGAGGAAGAGCAGCGGTTTTACAAATGCCCGGAGAAGGTACATCCACACTAACGAAACTCCGATTGCAAGAAGTGTGTCCACTGTGAGAAGATGGATTGAGGATTGGATCGTGCGATATACTGTATCGAGACCACCCAAATTCAATTTTTCAGTGTGTAGCCACACCACGAAAGATGTGGTAAATAAGCAAGTCATCAGCACCATATATAAAGTTCCCCATATCGCATCATGTGACGGAGGCTCTAGGGGCGGATATGCCACCTGTTGAGGAATCTAAAAGACACTTAGTATAAACTTGGATCGATCAACCCAAGCTCAAAAACAAACAGGAGCCATGACGGGGAGAAAGTGGGGGGTCTTACAATGCTCATATGGGGCCCGCGCGGCTGCGTAGGCGATGACAGTCGCGGCATGAATGTGGTCTCCGCCTTTTTATCTGGCAACCCAGACTTTGGCGGCGGCGGGCTTCTGAACTGCTGAAACGCAGGCTCCTCCTCATCATCATCATCATCCGACGGCATCTGAATGCAGATATCCCTTGGAGGCCGATCCGCTCCATCGTCATCGTCTTCATCCTCCAACAAATGCCGCCTTTCATAACCACCGAACGGCCTTTGAACAGCTGATTCTACCATATCCGAATGGTCGATCCCCTCCGGCATCATTCCCAGCCGCACGCTATCATCCAGGCCAATATCTACCATTCTCCCCTTTCCTTTCTCACCTTTTTCCGTACCGTCGCTCCCAACGGAGCTTGTTCTTGACGTCGACCTCACCACCGAGGACCCAGCGGACTTCGAAGCTCTCCACGAGCTCCTGATGGTGTTTGTGTTTCCCAAGACCGACAATCTCGACTTCCCTTTCCCCCCGCTCTGCCGTAGCTCCTGCGTGCTCCCACCAGAATAGTCGCCATCCTCCTCGTCGTCTTCCTCATGAACTGTCGCGTTCGAGGATGCATATGCCCCGAAATGCCGCCGGCTGCTCTTCAAAGCATAGAAATCCTGCACCTCCTGTTCGTGTTCCTCGTCCGGGGGCATAAAGTCGGCAGCCGAGTGGAATAGCGGTGCGGTGTTGTGTGGGTTGTTTAGACGGCCCTCACGTATAGCACTCATCCGAGTCTGGGACTGCGCCAGAAACCGGGAAGCATCTGGGAGCAACACATTTTCTCAGTTAGCTAGGGAACCGGGTATAGCATGCGAAAGGGAAAACGCAAAAGTCGAGTTCGGGAAAAAATATTAAGATACGATAGGTGGATGGGGGGAACGGATGAGCGGCGCTGACGGAACTGGAAGGATAACATCATTTTTTCTACGGAGGGGTTATGGGAGGGGTTCAAGATTACATTCGGAAAACATGATGGCGAGGCAGAGATGCCTTTGTGCCCTAGCGAAACAGAAGCTATCAAGAACGGCGAAGCAGCGGCAGCGGTAGACGAGAGTGGGCCTTTATCACTATTGATAGAAAGTCGATGGATAAATTTTGTTGTTCGTTGATGGGGGGGGGGGTGCGGACGCTCAAACGAGAACGAGAGGTTGAGAGGAAGATGAGGCGGCACTTGGTTGTGTTGTAGACGGGGAGGGAAACGGGGCCCAGGCGAGACACAGGTATGTATGTAATAGGCGGGTGTGAAAGAGTCAACCTCTGTCACAAGCAAGCAAGGAAGCACAGGGGAGCTCTATCAATCAACAACCAGCGATAGAGACGATGCTCCAAAGGGCTTTTTCTCTTTTGCACCCCTGTGGGGAAGCTGGTGCCTTTGTAACAAAAAAATGAAATAAAATAAAGGTCTCTCTTCACAATAGAAATCATGCACGCATACCCACTGGACTTAACTTGTTGGAACCTTCAAGGCAACTGACCGACAAATGATAATAAAGCAGCCATCCGCATCGACATATCACGCTGCTCCTGCGAAAAAAAAGGCTCTTGTGCGCTCACTTTCTTGCCACAAGACCAAGACCTAGGAGGAGCGCAGAGGAGGGAGGGGAGGTTACTAATATCGCCAAGCCACGTCTCCACCTGTCTGTCTCGCGAGTCGCAAGCTGCATGCATGCTTTCAAGATCATGGAATCTTTGACTCTTAATCGGCAGGCAAAATAGGTACATGCCGCAGCTGTTGCTTCGCTGGCCCTTGTATGTATGTAGTACCTTCACTCTGTACCTCAGATCTGCTACAAAAGGTCCCGTTGGGGAAAGCATATCCTGTGTCCACCTCTGGCTCCGCGGCCAGCTACATGCTCCAGAGCAGAACCATAGCACACATCCAGATCAGATCACCGTTCACCGTTCACAGTTCACTCACCACCCCAGTACATGTATGATGTAGGGTCCTCGACTCTGGCTTACTTCATAGGCACATCGAAGCAAGGGTAGCATGGGTCAGGTACGGCACCCTGCTTGCCGAAAAGGGTTTACTTGGGATGCAAGCCACGAAGCGAGTGCAGAATTAGGGGCAAGCGAAGCTATTTTTGCCCTCGCGGACCAAACGTCAACTTGAGCCTCATGTCTCCTCTACTCTCCAACATAGATCTGGGTCATAGATTCATCATTGACTTCAGTTGGCCGGGGGACAACCATCACCTGAACAATCAGAATCTTGCACAAGTAAATATCCCTCCCGCAACTAGATCATCTGTATTCGTGCAACCCTTCCTCAGTGGACTGTAAGATCTAGCTTCCTTTTCGTCCCTGGGACCTGGATTCTGTAACCAGGCAGGGGTTGCAGACCTACAGCCATTATGCTAGCGCATTATGGAACCCACCAAATGGCGCTGGCAGTTCCAAGCAGAGCAAGAACCTGGAGCAACAGCAAACAGGTCAAGGGCCCTTCTCCTACGTGCAGTATTAGTGGCTTGGCAGGTTAGATGTTCCCGCGGGGGCACGATAACACGATCTGGGCGGAATTAGCTTTCCCCAGCGTTGCACCAGAGCCCAAATGCAGTGAAAACCTTTTTTTTTTCGTGGGCTGATTGAGAAGGAGATGACAAACGGTACACAAGAACGGGATGAGTTGACGGATGCGGTTGTCTGCAGCGACTACCTAATGAGTAAAATCCATCATGGTTTATCACTCGACTTTCTACAGTTCTGACTCATTCTTATCTATGAACACTTGCGCACAGAAACACAGAAAGGCAACTACATGTAGACCCTTTAGCACCATTCACGCTTACTCAGTGTCGTTTGTGGATGCAGGTATAGGAAGGTAAAAGGATGCCTTGTTATGTACTTTACAATACCATATAGGGCATCAGTTCCAGCCACGGACCATAAGCCCAAGCATAACTCCTAGGCTTAGAAGCCCAAAATCAATACTCAGGAGTCTAGTTAGGGTTATCTTACCAATATATCTTAAACCCTATATCAAAACCTTGTGTTAGCGCACTGCCGCATCACCTGTCATGACCATACCAGCTCTATGTGTCTACCAGAGTTCCCATTATCGACCCAGCACAGTCACTAGTAATGGGAATAGAAAGATCATGAAGAGGATCAATCTCAGGCATTAAGGGCAGTGCAGTATAGGAAGCTTTTACTTTCGGATGTAGTTTATTCAGGAATCTAGTTAAAATAACCCTGATAGGCTGAGCTAGAGTACGAAGGCGGGGAAGGTTATGGAAGAGACTACGTGCAGTGTGCAGAGTATCCGTCCTCTTCGTTATACAGCTGTATTTACGTACAGGGCTAAGATTCTATAGCTTACAGAATAACTGAGGCTCATACCTAATCATATGTGGTCACTCGCTTCTAACGAGTTTGAAAATTTAAATTGTGTAATTGCTAATATCGATTATCATCTGTTATGGCCCGGGATTCTCTCACAACGTTAAACCACAGCCACTTCAAGTAGCCGGCGTGTTTCATAAAGATTCCTGCTACTATCCAAAGTTTGAACTGATTGTGCCATGCTTGTGGAGTACCATCACAGCGTTACAGTGTTGACTTGAATTCACTCCCCGTGGCTTACACCAGGTATAAAACCTTTCGATTATTTATATTGGAAGATTGGGGGAGCCTTACAAACACCCAGATAACCTATCGACATTCAGATCATTTGAGGCTCGTAATTGTCATATTTCTCCAACGAGCTCATGATTACGGGCTTAATTCCTATTCTTCCTTGGTTAGGGTGGGCTATGAAACCTAGACAAAGCTTTCAACGTTTTGCAGAGTAGTGTCTGGCAAGTGTTCTGTTAGTCTCACAAGCTTTATGGGATATCAATCGTCGGCCTATTCAGGTGGACTACTATATACACTCAGTGGGTTCATTGATTCAATCGACAACTTTTTGGGAACAAGAAACATAACATTTATTATTATAAAAGCAAAGCAGATCAGGCCCGCATGCAAGTGACCAGCGCCTTCTCCACACACCTTTTCCCACCCTCACCCTCCAAGCTCTCCTCCTCCATCTGCACGCTCTCTTCTACCGCTGCCTCATAAACAGCATTCAAGATCTCCTCATCGACCCTAACATTATGCCTCACGAGCGCCGTAACACAATTGCCCACCCTCGAAATCTCCCTCCTCGTAGCCGGAGAGATAAACTCATTGACTGAGGAATAAATCGCCTCCGACGCCTCCTCCTCCAACCTCGTGATACTAACCTCCTTCCCATCCTTCTTCCCGTCTGCACCCGTCACCCTCTTGGAGATCCACACATACCCATTGATACCCAGGATCACATCCACCTCACCACCGCCGTTGGCCGTAGTCAGCGTGAGGATGTGCGATTTGGACCGCTGGATGCCCTTCGGGTCGACCTTGATGAAGTGCCCGTTACGGAGCTTTCCGTACTTGAGAGAGCGGGTATGAAGCGACGCAGCGCCGTCCTGGAACAGCGACTGGACTTCCGCGACGAGGAGGTCGCCCTCGGAGAAGAAGGTTCGGATCTGGAGCTCGTCTGTGGATGTACGTTTCCGGAGGATACCACCTGGAAGATTGATCGACGACAGGAGGAGATGCGCGGTCTGCGTGCTGTTTATGTCGACTTTCCAACGTTTGGATTGCACCTATTCACCACCCACATCAGCTCCTACACCCCCCCCCCCTACCACACCCCACCACCAACCCAAACCCCAACGGCAAACAAACCTCCATAATCCGCCCCACAACCAAGTCTCCAATATCCGGGGTATACCGCGCCCTCAGCGGCTTGACGCTCAACAGCTTATTCGTCTTCGTCACGCTCCCCGCTACCGTCGCGACAATGCTCGTCCCCATCTCTCCCTCCTCCGTCTCAGCCAGATAGGTCCCATGCCCCCTCATCCACTGCGGATCGCTCGTGACGACCTCTCCGGGCGTCACAATCGGCATTCTTCCGCCGGCGCCTCTCTTTCTCGTCGATGAATCGTCCATGGCGATGTCGCCCTCCATGTCTTCATCTTCTTCCTCTCCCTCGTAGTGTTCGTCGGGCCGTGAGAACTCGGCGAATTTGTCCGTGTGGGCGTCCCGCGGAGGTAAGATTGAGATTGGCATCTTTGGATTACTGGAGGTACGTGGCGCTGCTCTTCGGAGGTCTCGTGTGTTTTTCTGCTTTATCGGTGAATTGGATAAGGTTGAGGCTCTGTAGGCCCAACATGCGTAAATCTCAGTCTGGTGGGATGATCTACGCCAAGCAATTAACCCTGACCCTGACAATGAGTGACAGCCTGTGATTTCAGCCCTATTGGTGGGTCTATTATGAGTTTTATGTCTATCACGCTGCTAGTACAGAAGAGTGTTGATTGTCGAGGAAAGAGCCTCTATTCCTCTTCGTCATTTTCAAAATAGCCAATGAGTAAACCCGCCACCGCCGGATGTATATACAGGAAAGCACCGCAATGCTTTTGTGGTAGCTACAAGTTAAAAAACAACAAAAGGAAATCTCATGGTAGCTAGAGTACAGGTAGATAATTCAACAAGTGATACACCCCGTTTTGGAGAGAAACAAAAAAAAAATACTAGTAGAAGGTGGTATAATAAAAGAAGAGCTGAAGAGATAATTTAAGCTGATATAGAACAGGGTTATTCCACAGTATCCATCCATGGTGTAAAAACAAAAAGCCAGAAAATATTTTTGAGAAAAGGAAAAAAGATAAGAAAAAAAGACAGGTTAGTCTAAGCCAGAAGGAAAACATGTAAGTATTGTACAAAATACCATAAGTCAAGTCAGCAATCCTGCGTACACACGTAATATACAGCCATGGCATGATTTTTCAATCATTTAACACCACCGTACCTACAACCACACCCGGAGAATTTTTGGTGGCCATAAATCCATAAAGAGGAATTACCCTCAATAATTCAACAAGAGCGATCCCCCACTCGCCCATATATTATCGTTTCGTCGTATAGTGTTTCATCTCTTTCATAGTCCCAGGAATGTGAAAGGAAAAGAGCGTATGAACAAGGCATCATAAAGCAGAGCATTACCCAGATATAAGTCGTTAGAGGAAAAAATTCACATATAGAATGGCGCGCCCCCGTCGAGGAATGTACTTCCGTAGGATGGCTGTTGTACAGGGGTTGGGCGCATGGACGGCTGGCTGTATGAGTTTGAGCGTTGTGGTGGCTGAGGGTGTCCAGTAGGGGAACCTGAGCTCTGAAGGCCTGGGTTTTGGAATACAAGACCACCCGAGGCTCCAGGTGCTTGGATCTTCTGTTGAATCCTGCGTCCATAAGGTGTCATACGGATTGCCGGAAGAATTGGCCTAATGCAATCGACAAGCTGTTGCTTGAGATGAGGCCCAGAGTATTCAATCTATCAATCATCAGTAATGGATTACACATAGAGGTCCTGGAGAGTATTACAGCCGTCTGAATGACATAATTTGCATATGAGTCGCGAAGCAACTTCTCCATCTCTGTGTGGTTCATCATTTCCTCAAGCAAAATCGCTTTGGTTGATTGTTGTGCCACACGGATACACTAATTTCTGATTAGCTTGGTACGCTACAAGTAGTTGAAGCTGTATGCACCTTCTCCATCACATTGGAGCTGAATTTCTGCTTTGACAATTCGCAAACACGTCCACGGAATTGCAGGATCAAGGGCTCAGAAAACATTGGCTCGTTAAGATCGACTGTAAGTTGTTAGAACTGGTCAATAGTAGTAAGCTGCTTTTACTCACGGATATATTGAACAACATAGTTTCCAAAAGGATCCTGGACAAGTTGAACTGCATGAGCCGTAATCTGTTGAACCAATTGAGCTCTCTGGTCACCAGATGCGTGGTCGATACAACGTTGAAGGACACAACAGCCGTGACGATGTGTTCCCACCGGGATGCAGTGTCTGCCAACAGCATCGAAAATGAACTATGTAATGTTAGTATGGATTTCACTTCTTTGGACTCTAATCATTTGACTAACCTGAGCATCTTGGCCCTTGAGGCGGTTCAAGCACTTCTGGATGACGTGGTTACCGTTGAGATCTTGAATCAAATCGACAACCTTACTCTCAAGAGCACGGATGATAGTGGCGATCTTCAAATTATGTCAGCGAAGAACACACATATAAATATCGATGGTAAGAGGCTTACTTGTTCGGGGGTTGAAATGAATTCAATCATCTTCTGCAAAGCCCTGGTTCCATGCTGGTTGAGAGCGATCTTGACGAGATTGGGAGCAGCAGTATTGACAAGGACAGTACGCTGGGCATCGTTGGCAAACTCGAGAAGTTTTTGACAGAGGTAATTTCCAAAGGGATCTATCGGAGTGCTTTAGAATAATCCTAATCTTTGAAACGCGGACGAGATAAAAGGCTTACCAGTCATGAGTTCAACCACATGGGCATGTGTCTCACGGAAGATCATCTCAACATATTGGGGGTTACGTTCTTCCAGCTTCTTCTGCAAGTAACGACACCCGTGCTGGTCCTTACAGTACCCGTAGATATCACCCTTCAAGCTCTCAAGCTGAACGTTGGTGAATCGATTGGCTGGGGAATCACATCAGCAAAGAGTTCTTCAGAAATTATTATCAAGCCGTAACAAACCTTCCCCATCATGGGCTCTCTTTGGAACATTGCGATTTTGAGCATTAGTGGTTTGTTGAGTTGAATCACCAATTTTGGAACCTTGGGCATACAAAGGACCATAAGATCCATAAGGCGCTGCGTGAAAGACAGAGTTTGCCATGTTGATGTTTCCATACGCTCCATAGATGCCAGGAGAAGGAAGAGGGGTGATCCCAGGAGGTGTCATGACAGGCATTGGTCCAACTCCTGTCGACAGAGGAGGGCCAAATGCAAGTGCCTGGTTTCCCTATTGAATTGTAAGCTTTTAAGGTATAAAATGTGAAATATTGGCTAGGTACCGAATTCAAGATTTCGCCACTAGCCGACGGTTCACGGCTATGTCTAGGACGCTCCATCTGAACCCTGTTGAAACTCTGAGTGTTCATATGATTAGAAGTTCTCATAGTCGGGATGTCTGAAGTGGAGAAAGATGATTGAAGTCTCGGCATGCTGTTTTGGTTTACATGAGAAATATCGTTCCCCTGGGTCAATTTTGCTTCGAGGTTTTCGGAGAATTGGGGGAATGGTTTTTCTTCAAAACGACGGAAGGTAGTTGGGGAGTCGGTTTGTGGGACAGTAACTTTGGGCGAGGATTTGCCTGCTGGTGTGTATGGGTAATTATTTGCTGGAAGGCTGTGCTGAGCAGGACGATGACGGAAGCTACTCCAGCTTCCAGGCACATTGCTCTGACCATCCTTAGGTTTGGAGAGAGCAAGGTCAAGGGCGGCAGATGAGGAAGAAAGCTAAAGATAGGTTAGCTTTTTGGTTATATGTATGAAGGGGCTGGGGAAGATCATTACAACCCCAGGGAAGCTATCACGACGCACCAGAACGGGAAAGTCATCAGCGTCTGTCATTTGAAGATAGGTCTTCAAAGAATTATTTGCAGATGGGGCATTTTTGGCATTCCCGTTCTTGTCCGCTTCGCTGTATAGAAAGCTGGTATCAATCTGGCCCATTCCTAGGTGTGACGAAGCAGCATCCAATTGCTGACCTGGTCTAGCAATGGAGCCATTTGGCAAAGAGTTTCTTCAAAGATCAGCACAATTCTCAGGCAAGGAAGCAATGGTATTTACCTGATGTTAGATCTAGGTCCAATAGGAGCCTGATCCTGCATTCCCAAAATTTCATGTTCATCCGAATTACGCCTAGATCCCGGAACAGACCTGGAGGGTTTGTGAGGCATGAAAATGCTTCCATCATCTGTAGGAGGTGTCATAAGCTGACGGCCGTCACGACGTCCACTGCTTGGTGGTGTTGCAAGAGCAGTAGCCACAGGCATCCCAGAACTGCTAAATTCGTAGGAGGCACCGTCACGTAGTTCTGGAGGAGTAGTCGGAACACGCACAGCCGAAGGTTTATAGCCCCCATGGACACTTCCTTGAGTAACCTGGCGATCCCGGTCGAGGTCCTGAGCAATACGCATGATTTCCTGCTCATCCCTTTGCTGCTGGAGGTGGAGGAGGGCCATCTGAGTCTCGAATACCTTCCTTTGTTGACGTTTATGTTCCAATTCCTGCTGTTTTTGTTGAAGCTTTGCGTGTGTTAGTAAGATTTTATTAAAGAGACATCTGGTGGTAGCTAAATAAACGAACCATTTGGACCTTCTGGTTCCTCTATATGACTATATATTAGCTCTATCACTAGCAATAAGACCTCCGGGAAGAACATACATCAGCCTCCGACTGGTCTGCAACCTGAAGCCTTTGAAAGCTGGGAGCAAGGTCCAATGAATCCGAAGGGTTCATCCGGTTTCTGTGGAAAACGTTGGAAGAATCCCAGCCCATATCGATATTGGGAGGTCTCATAGAGTCGGTCGTGAAACGACGCTGGAGTGTTGCTCTACTATCGGGTGTAGCCGAAAGAGGAGATTCAGCATTGTGGAGCGGGGTATGGGCGGGGAAGCGGAATCCGTGATCCTGTTGAGCTTGGTTGTTTAGAAGATTATTGGTGAACCGCATGTTTCTATCACCCACGGTAGCAGCAGCAGTGGATGAAGCCATTGCTCATGCCTAGAGTACAATTGCCTGTCAGCAACTTATTTCGTGTGAAGCAGGGAATCTCAGATGACTAATTGGCTTGCAATGCCGAGAAGACAGCGAGATTACAGATTTGAGATGTGAAGATAGCAGCAGAGTTTGTTGTAGTAGATACCGTTACTTACCTTGAGGGAATGACGTTGAAGCTTGAGATCTAAGGTTGACTTTCTATACCAGTCGAGTGAGATTATGGGGAAAGCAACGATGTGTTGAACAGAAGAGTAGTCGAAACGAAACACTGGGAACACCAGACACTGCTGACCTTCTGAACAGATGAACAGAGGAAACAGCAGGGAGAGGGGGGTATGAGAACTTGGGTGGGTCAGAAGTAGAGAAACGAAGGAGGGAGGGAGTTCGGTGGGGTAAAAGGAGGGTCCCTCAGGGATGAGGTGTCGGCTTGAGTGTGGTTGGCGGCGGGCTGTGGTTCGGTGGTGGTGGAGCTCAGAGGTGCAGTGCAGCAAGCGCGGGGCAAAGAAGAAACGTACAGGGAGTTAGGTGCACCTGCTTGTTTCTCCCAGTCTCTTGGGGGGGGTGTGGAAGAGGGCCCAGTCAGCGGCCAGAAGTAAAACACATTTAGCCCCCACCATCCAGGTTTTTTGCACTCTCCATACAGTTTACAGTTACCTCAGCTCAATACACGATATGTGTCTACACATTTCGCTTCACTCTGATCAAAATGACTAGAATCACTCGCAGCGTCTATATAGCGTACAAGCACACACACACGAATTTAAGCGAAGGTTTTTTTTTTCTTCGAAAACCATGCCGGAAGCTTATTTTATCCCGCCTCTCTAACCTTGAATGACAGAGCGACTAGTAAGCCACTCTGATAGGGCCAGCATTTCCTAGATCAATCGATTCCCGATCTATCAAATCGGGGGCCCTTATTCGGTGTTCCACTGGAAGACAACAACGACAACAAGTTACAACCGTAGAGAGAAGTAGGTGGAGTAAAAACAGTCAATGAGATCTTCGTGGTTAGGCATATGTAAAAGCTCATAGGCTCACGAATTCTTTTTTTTTCTTTCTTTTCTTTCTTTCTCAATCTCTCGCTCTCAGTCTAGCGTCCCCTACATGACATTTCGCTAAAATCGTTGGACCACTGTCCAAGATTAAGATTCAGTCGGGGGAGGTCAGATAACAGCAAGAGCCTCCCCGCATCGGTCCGCGATATACCGGGGAATCGGGATGACGAGGGAAGCAGGCCGGCACGATGATTTACACGATTCCCGACAGAGCTTGGAGACACATAATTTTGACATTGCTCGGACCTTTAAGCGCACCACACACGCACGCACACGATCTCCCGTGATGATCACTTACTTAAATGGTTGCTGCGCGGATCCATTGATGAACCCTGAACTATGGGATGGGGTCTATCTTATGCAGCACACACATTAGCAATGACCATTACTGTCCGCGCAAGCACCACTCGTCTCACGAAATCTGTTTCCCTACGTGTAGACAGGACGTGTGCTGCTGCTGCTGCTGCTGCCAGTGCTGCCAGTGCTGTCGCTGATGCCCGTTATTTAGCCTTCAGGTTACATGCTATTTGCGGCCGCCGAGTAGGAGGTACATACATACCTACATGGTAGAAGCGGGGTTTTGATCGAGGTTATGGCACCAATTCAAATCATCCAACAGACGGACTGGCGGCTCTAGGATGGATAAACATCATCTTCAACGCGTCAAACGGCTACGGCTACACTCGATGGAAGTCTGAGTGGATCTCGAATTCGTTGACTGCAGCAGATAGACAGCGGAATATCTTCATAAGTGTATGTATGCGGTGACCCCATGTAAGGGCTAGCTGGGGTGACACGAGTCATCGATGCCCAAACCCGCTCTGATCCACGGCTATCAGAGCCTACCACCTACATGCATGTATTATGATGTACTCTACTCTATGGCATCATCGCGAGACTGATTTTCTTTACTCCAAACTACGAATTGCCTTTGCCCATGGTGGGTTAGGCACGGGCTTGCCCTACAAGAAAACTAAATGGCCGATGTGGATGGTTGACATTTCAGGATGCCATTTCACGATTACAATCCAATTCAGCATCTGTTTCCATGCACACGACGTCACCGGACATTGCTCTTTGCACGCGCAGTAATGTAAATTCCATCTGAACTTTGAATACAGTTTTTTTGTTTGAACCCCAGTGACTTTTCCAATAAAGAGAACCAAAAGACATTTCTGACGACACTCCAAAATCAGACTCTACGGGTTTTATATTATTTCACGCTTGATCGACACGGTCACGTGCTTACGTGGTGAAACTATATGGAAATGCGTGTGCAGTCTTGACTTACGTCTGTCTGTGAATGCATATTTCTCAACAAAGAATGCGATGGGTACGAGCCTATACCGTAACCCCAAGCCCTTACTATCTCTGAGAGACCGAGCCCCAGGTGCTTCAGGTCGTGGAATTAGGCAACTCAGCTAGCTGGTTTCCCTTCAGTCCCGTTCTCATGTCACTTTGCTACGCAAACACTGGTTTCACGTGTAGTGGATAGACTGACTGCGCATGAAACCGTATACTGGTTCGTTATGAGCTGACATATAGTAGATCAAACCTGTGGCTGTGTTAGTTAGATGTATGAGTACATGTGCCTTGGTGGGATGTAATTGCCCGGGGCAATCCACTCATTTACTAGATGACTGCTGGTTTACCGTTTCAAGTCATATCAAACTCACCCGTTCAACAAACAATGGATCTTGCCAGGCTTACATCAAATCTCGGTGAACATGATTCATCTACTAACTTGGATAATCTAGAGAGACAACGAACAGATATCTCAGGAACCCATGCCTAATTACTACCAGTAGGTGTGATCCTCGGCGGATATGGCTCATCTGCCAAGTTAACAATCTTGGGAGACAACGAACAGGTATCTCAGGTAACCACAGTAAGAGGAAACCATAGTAAGTTACTACCAGTAACTGTGAGCCTCAGGTAAAGACCCCTTGCATAACCACCGAGCCTAGGGCTCCTAGGGCCTCGCCTACCTCAGTCTGAACGAAATCTCATAGCAAACTATAGCTAACGAAGAACCTTACTGACTGAGTATTATATGGTTTCTCTGACATTGACTGATCGATTGATTACTTCATACTCGCATGCAGCCCGTAGGCTATAGCGGCGTACCATCCCCTCTAAGCAACCAGTGCAGGGTCTCACCTTATAGAGGCGTTAGCCTCAGGTGTGGAATACCCCAACCGACATCTAAGGCCAGCACCTTTGGTTTCTCTGACAGAAAACGCTGCACTTGGGCGAATAATCCACACTTAGGATCTTTTCTCCGCTTCTAGGCCACCATCCCACAGCGAGGATAATCTATATTTCAAAGATCACGAAGCTATCGTGTTCCAGCATAGTCAATGAGGCCCGCCAGCCAGTGCATCCCCTACCAATGGGCCATGACGACCCCGCTGAATCTTGTATCTAGGCAAGCCTAATACTAAGAGATTACACCACAGCTATACTCACACATTAATCAAGTCCTGAGAGCTCTTGGTAGTAACGACCTTCCAAAACCTCTCAGGACCTAGTTGACGCGCGAGTTAGCGCTACGGCACATAGCTGCAGCTCTTGCTCCGTGGCGAGAAATTCGCGTCATAGCACATAGCTCTTTGGCTAGAAGCTACAGATCTTGATGTTCTTCGACCTTTGAACACATTATTGCTCTTTCGAAACGTCTGTATGTGGTGTTTTTTCTCCCATGGCGTATACCGAGTGATATTTCATGATTAACTCTTACCGCTCCGGGGCCTTCCTTCGGTCAAGGGAAACGGTCTGCTTTATAGTCCCAAACTCGGTCAATAAAGCTGGATATATGAATACTTAGCAGTCTCTAATAACGAATCATTCTGGTGGGCAGTTCAAGGGCCTGTTTGTTATGCTGACTAATATAGCAGAGTCAATGATAAATTTTCGTCATATGTTATCACTCAGTGTGCATCACTAACTGCATTGTCCTACTTTATGGTTTTATGTACATGTAGTCCTATTAGCTGCTAAAATCCGTATCTGCCATGAGTACTTTAATCTACGTTAAGCTTGTCTGCTCGGTGGTCATTGTCATGAGGGCAGAGTAGATAGAGTTGTGGCTGTCCCTTGGTGATCTCAATATTTATAAATTGGTTAATTCCACCCGGGAAGCATCATATATATATACTCATGAGCTATCGATCTAGTTTGACGAAAACTCAATGTAATAACCATGTTACCATCTTACCAGCTAGAGTGCCTAGGTTGAGACCTCCCTGGGCCACATCCGAGATACTTTCAATGGGGCCCTAACTGGGCTAAACCTTTGGGCCGCTACTTCTAGAGTATACTCCCATTATTCAACGGGAGCTCGGCACTACTTATCCGTTTGAGACGCCTCATACCGTCGGCATGATATAGACTTGACCGAGAATCTGGTCTAAACTGTATCATCTATTTGGTTCATTAGTTAGGCCTGACCGCCCCGCGGGGTTGGGGGGGGGGGTGTACTTTCCTTGATTGGGGAGAAGGAATCGGTGAAACTACGAAAGTTAAGAAGACAGCAGAAGACTTATTTGATAGAGAGAATCGTATCTATATTTCTTTCCTTGTTTGATATTCTCCATATATTCCGTCTTCACTTTTGTTGCACCATACCTCAGTGAAGGCACTTAGCACACCGCTCAACATCGACCAATTGAGTACTCTCCCTATAGTATCCAAGATTTAGTGCCCAGTTCTTGTCCTGGGCCAATCGCTGACAGCATATATGGGACATAGAGTGACATAAACAGCTTCTAAACGCATAGTGTCATCTAAGCATACATAAAGTCTCCGGTATAGGGTAGAAATAAGAGAGAATCTCCTGTGAATCACAGGCCATTCACGAGTAGTTTTTATTTGGAGGCGAGGAGTTATCATGTATTTAGAGAAGCAATCGAATTGACTCATTGGTGGCAAGCTGTCTCTGGAGTAGCTCTAACGAACTGCATCTGCATGACTTGACACTGCACTGGAGGAAGCAGCTTCCTTTCTCGACCCGGCAGCACTTCCCGCCACTCAATTCCCCCCAACCCAAATCTAGAAACTGCAAAGCGGCGGCAACGGGACGGCTCTCCATGTTTGCGGTTTGCTTTTTGGTTGTTCATTTGGTGACCACTCGATTGCGAGCATGATCCTATGATCATGACTGATCATGATCAATGCACACCCGCCATCCATCTCCAGGGCTCCAGAGCAGCAGTACTCACCGCCCGGACGCCCGCCTCCTCCAGGGCCACCGCTGCACAGTAGATAACCCACCGAGTTGCCCCCCTTCTTCGACCCGCAGATTGCAGCAGGTATATATCCCAGCCAGCTCAGCTCTCGCTCTAATAGCGTGTGCGGCTCAAGCTCTGGTCCGGTACACACTCATCCGGGTAACCTCGTGTCTACGGATTCCTCTCTCACTCTCGTCCCACAACATCAACAGAATCACGGCCATCGATCAACCACCAACCAACCAACCAACCAACCAACCAACCAACCAACCAACGAACGTCCGCACATCGACCTCCACGGCGAGCAATTAAGCGTCCGTCCGCGAGGCAAACACCACCCACGATGTCGTTCCCGCAGTCCCCCTCCGTGCAGCAGTATCCCCAGAACGGGCAGCCCACACCCCAGCAGCAGCAGCAGCAGCAGCAGCAGCAACAGATGCAGATGCAATACCAGCAGCAGCAGCAGCAATCCCAGCAGCAGCAACAGCAGCAACAATCCCAACAACAGCAGCAGCAATCCCAGCAGCAAGCCTCCACCTCCATGCCCCCGCCCGCCTCCAAGCCCACCGACCCCACCGACCTCGCCGACGCCCTCACCTCCGCCGCATCGACCTCAAGGAAGAAGAAGCGCGCCTGACCGCCTCGACCACCACTACCACCTCCTCCAACGGCCCGGGCGGCCCCCTCCTCCTCCGACGAAGAGGCGCGCATCGCCCACCGCCGCCAGGCCGAGATCCGCACGGCCCACCTCGCAGACCCCTTCCTGACCCCCGAGATCCTGTCCAACCGCCTCTTCCGCAAGACGCGCGACGCAGCCTGCCAGCTCTTCACGCTCAACGCCGGCAACGGCGCCCTCGTCACCCACGGCCAGCAGGCCGACATCGCCGCCCTCCTCAGCCTCGCCGCGAAGGAGCGCATAAACCAGTTTGTCACGCGCGCAATCGTCCTCGCCCGCGCGCGCCGCCGCGCACAGAACGTGGTCTCGGGCGAGTGGGCCGACAGCGTCAAGGGCGCTGCTCTCGACCCCATCAAGGGGGCCATCCCGGACAGCGCTGTCTCCCCCGGGAACCCGTTAAAGCGCTCATTCAGCTTTGCGGCGTCGGTGGAGGGGGCGGCGGCCGCCGACGACGACGACGCCGACGACGACGCTCGCCAACGAGACGGCGAAGGCGCTGCGGGGGCTGCAGCAGCGCGAGTTCCACAAGGAGCAGGAGCGCATCGCGAAGAAGGCGAAGCGCGAGACGCCGGCCACGGCCGCGAGCACGCCGACCGTGGAGCCGACGACACCGTCGGCGGCGGGGGGCGCGGGGGGGGGCGGGGTCGTCGTCGTCGCAGGTGGAGCCGCCGTCGACGCCGACAATGTCGCTGAAGGAGTCGCGGAAGCACAATTGCGAGCAAGAAGGAGGAGGTCATGTCGCACAAGGCGGCCAACGCGCACGGCGAACATGATGATGGGCATGGCGGGTTTGGCGGGAAGCGGAAGGAAGAAGACGTATTCGTGGTGTCGGCTGCGGGGGGCGGGATCGGCGGTTGGTGGCAGGGCGGCGATGGCGCGGTGGGGGTGGGCGTGGCGACGCCGACTGACGCCGGGCGCGGTGGGGGGGGCTGGAGTATTGGACGGGGGGCAGAGGATTGGTGCGTGGAGGGATGATGGGAGCGGGGGCGGCGGCGTGCAGATTCGCGATTGGATTGCGCGTTGGAGGGGGATGGCAGGGGCGGGGGAAGGGGGTGGTGAAGGCGTATTTGAGGTGAAATGAATATCTGCTGCTTTCTTGCTTTCTTTCTTGCGCTGGTTTTTTTTAAAGCTGTGGCTTTGTTTTAATACTGTACTCTTACGATTGATATCTGTATCCATACTATACCTATACTGCTAACCCCGTACTATCTTGGCGCTAGCTTCCATGGCGCGGCATCATCATACATCCTCATCATCATCATCCGTATAGGCCATAGAGCGGGTGGATTGCCCATTTTTTTCAGCTTTTCTTTTTTTTTTTTTTTTTTCAACTGCCTTTTTTTTCTACGTCACTGGAGTACCGGAGGGATGCAATTTGCAATTTAGGGAATTTGTTCTTTTTTTTTTAGTTTTATTTTACTTGTCTGATCATTAAACAATAAATAATAAACAGTAAAGTGACTTTCTGGTACTTTACAATTGGGATTAATTCAGCAGCCATGTCGAGTTCCTGGGACGGGAGGCTACATGTAATGGTTTGGGGTTATACAATGAGTGAGAGCGCCGCGATTAAAAACTATATGGACTAACATTCTTACCAGCTCTGAATAGAGGCCTGGTTTTTTTTTTATGGGAAGGGTCCAGTTCCAGTGTCTTTTCGTGGAAAGTCGACGTTCCCCAACTACATGTATGTACCCGGTGCAGGGCCAATGATAAAAGGTTCGTTTTGTTGAAGAGACCGCCTTAAGTTCCACTACGCACCCCCACTAAAAAAAAACTAACAAGAAAGAATCCAATAACAGAGAGAGCAAGCTCCTCTAATCAAATTAAAGCTCGAACAGTCTTTCACAGCTAGCAAAATCCAATAACGGCTCTCATTTCTCTCACGCTAAAAGCCGGGTTACTCTGCTCGCTCCACCCCGCTCGTTCGAGCTAGGCTGTAATTGCTTATAGATTCCTTTTTTAGCCCGCAGTTTCAAGGTTGCGTGGTGTAGTTGGTTATCACACTTGCCTCACATTCAGTGTTTCGCAAGTGGTCCCCGTTCGAGCCCGGGCGCAATCAAAACTTTTTCATTCCTACCTCGTACCTAGTGTGGTCTAGGTACTTGGAGAGTTGAAGAGTTGAATCTCCGTCAAGCAAGCAAGCTGGTGGCGGTAAACCTTTTTTTTTTCTTGGTTCCGGATTTGAATAATAATCTGTTTAAAGCTTCATATTGACGACCCCAAAGCCCACTTCTGATCAATGATTGTCAACCCTAATCTGAGTTACTGTTTGAAAACAGGCCCGTCCAACCGTGGCAGCCCCACACTCTCTACCAGAGTATCGCGAAAGCACGTGACCCTAGCGATAGCGGTCTCTTTCCGCTTAGTCATTCCCCGTAGTCTCGTGGCTAGCTCAGTTATGCGGCTCTTCGCCGCGTCGCCAAATTCCTCACAAGCTCCCATCCACCACCGACCATCAGTACCAACCACTAACCAAAGCCAAACCGCACTCTTCAATCCCCAAGATGCTCCCCGACGAGACCGTCCCCGACGCCCTCCTCTCCAGCATCAATGCGCAGTACCCCTGCCGCGTGCCACAGCTACTACAACGACGTCCGCACTCATCAGGGTGATGTTTGTCCCCTCCCAGTACCTCCCGCGTGCCCTTCATTCATTCCCCCCCCACCCCCGCTGACCAAGAGGGAGCGAAAAAAAAAATAGGAAGACGACCCGAGCCCACCGTCAATAATCGTCCACGGCCTCGAGGCGACCGGCAAGTCGCTGATCGTGCGGGCGTTCCTGGAGGCCGCGGAGTGCCGCTTCGCATGGGTGCCGTGCAACGAGTGGGTGTTACGGCGCGGCACCTGACGCAGCGTGTTGCGGCGGCGGTGGGGGGCGGGGAGGAGGCCGGGAGGTGTGATGGGGTGGGCGCGCTGGCGGTTATGTTGGCGGCGATGTGGTTGGCGGTGGTGGTGGTGGTTGGTGGTGGGGGGAAGTATTTTCTGTATGGAGGCTGCTGCAATTGGTGGTGAGGAGGAGAGGTGAGAGGAGAAGTGCTGATGGGTGTGTGTGTGTGTGTGTATAGGTCTGGATAGGATTGATCAGCAGAGGGAATTGACGCCGACGTTCTGGCTGGGTTGGGGAGGTTGGGGGAGATGGTGAGTGGACTTCATTTATAGTCGCGGGTTTGGATGAGACGTGAGGTTGCTAACAGCAGTGTCCAGATCCCGAACCTGACCGTCATCTTCATCGTCTCCGTCTCCAAAGCACGCCTCCTAAGCTCCGCAGAGGTCCCGCATATCCACTTCACGCCCTACACAAAAGACGAGAGCATCAAAGTCCTCTCCAAGTACGTCCGGCGCATCACCAAGCTCCCCACCACCAAGCTCTCCTCCACCACCACCGCCCTCACCGGCAACCACCACCACCAGCGGCGAAGCCTCAGCCTCAGCCGAAACAGAAACCGAAGATGAAGAAGAAGACGAATACACCCCCGAGACCGCCGCCGAGGAGCTCTACGTGTGGGAGAAGTTCTGCGGCACCGTCTGGGACTCGCTGGCGAAAGCGCCCCGCCGCGACATTGTGGCAATTCCGCGACGCCGTGGAGTCCATGTGGGACCAGTTTGTGCAGCCCATCGCGCGCGGCCAGTATGGGACGAGGAAACTTCTCGCAGCTGTATCTGCTGCAGAAGGATGTTTCGGCGCGAGTCGAGTATTGTGACTTCGTGGTGCCGGTGCCGG